CCCGCGGCCGGCGCCCCGGCCCCCCGCCGTTCCCATTATAGTGCTAAAGAGGGGATTTTTTGGCAGCCGAAACAGCCAAATAGCCTAAAAAAAAACCCCAACAAACCCAAGCAGAGGGATGTGGGTCAAAGATCCACCTCCTAAATGTTCCTAAATTGTTGTTTGTGAACGGCGGTGACGTACGTAAACAAGGCGGCGTTGATGGTTTTAATTATAGCTTAAATGAAAAGGGAGGAGGAGACCCCGCTCCGGTTTGAAATCCCGCAGCGACAAACCGGGGGACCTGTTGGGAGAGAAGGAAAACGCGAGGGAGCTGGTGGAACTCGTGCCGTATGACACGTTTAATGCCTTACGGGGTTGTAAAAGGTTTCTCCTAACTCTTATCTGAGTCATTTTTAATTGGATTTAATTGAGCGGAGCTTGGGGAATCCTCTTGAGGAAGTTCCAGATTTGTTTTATCACCTCCGCTAACCACAACCGTGGGTGAACGGTACCATGAGAAAGTGGAAATAACAGGGCTCGCCTCTCTAGATTTGGCAAACCGGCACGATATTTACTTAGTCTTGTCTTTCTAGAGGACCGAGATTTTTATTAAAACACCAATTTCGATTCTTGGAGTGAGCCAAGTGTTTTATTAAAACACCAGTTTCCGTTCTCGGAGTGGGCCGAGCGTTTTATTAAAACACCGATTTCGGTTCTCGGAGTGAGCCAAGTGTTTTATTAAAACACCAATTTCCATTCTTGGAGTTTGTTTGCAATAATTTCATGCCAAAGTCCAACGCCGTCACGTTGTGGCTCCGGTTTGTTTGCGAGACGCTTTTTCGCCGCGGTTTAACTCCAGGCTGAGCGAGAGCTTGAGGAGAGCTGGACAGTATCGATATTTGCGGTCAGATATTTAAAACCCCGGTAACTAGGAATTTGCGAGCGCTTTGGGAGCCGAGGACCTGGCTGGCTGGCGAGCGGAGTAAGCGGGTTTCTATTTTCCTTTTCTTTTTTGAATAAGGGGAATTAAACGTGCCTGTCTGCTTTACAGGGAGGATGGAGAACTGGAAGAAGGGGAGCTGGAGGACGATGGAGGGGAGGAGGCGCAGGATCCCTCCGAATCTCACGAAAGAGGTCGGAAGGAGAAAGGGGAGAAGCATCACAGCGATTCCGATGATGAGAAAACCCATCGACGCATGAAGCGCAAGCGGCGGAAAGAGAGAGAGAAAGAGAAAAGGAGATCCAAGAAGAAAAGGAAATCCAAACACAAGGTGAGCCACGCGCTGCTTTTACCTCCCGGATCCTCTGATATCCCATCCCCGGTGTGCCTTCCTCTGCCATCAGCCGTCTCCAGGGAATTAATTCCTCCTCTGACATTATCCTGGGTAGTTTGAGGCTCTTCCCCTAACGATAATTGCGAGGTGGGAGCGCTCACGGGGTTTATTGGGGGTTCGGCTCCTTAACGCTTTCCTCCTCTGAGAACTAGCAAGCACAGCAGCGGCGCTCCGAGGTCTGCGGGTAGGACAACGACGCTACAGCGCTCTCTCGTCCGTCTGAGGATGCAGAGAGGGAAGAAAATGGGGTTTTATTTAGGGAATTCCCTTGTGAGCGTTCTTACCTCAGAGAGGATCGCGGATTGCCGGATTTGCCAGGTCGAGGGTGTTTGTTCCTTAAGTTCTGGGAATTTCTGAAGCGCAGAAGGCACGTTGCGTTTATCTTCATTAGAGACCGGTTCAACAACCTGCTAACGGGCTTCCAGTTTGGAACCCAGTGAACATCGTGAAGATTTTATTAAGCAAAAAATTGAGTTTCCTTAAAAAAAAAACCAAAACCACCCAGAAACCAAAGGGAGACTTAGTTGTGTTGTGTCAAGAGTCCGAGCTGGCCTGTGATAAAACCGCGCCGGGTGTTTCTCTTGCCTTGCAGCGCCACGCTTCTTCCAGCGATGACTTCTCTGATTACAGCGATGATTCGGACTTCAGTCCTGGTGAAAAGGGACACCGAAAATACCGGGAATACAGCCCGCCTTACTCTTCCGTAAGTTCAGATCCGCTGCAAGCTTTTGAGGTGCCCGTCTAGCTCCATCTACGGGCCACGCGCAGTGGCTTTGGTCCTTTAGCCTGTTTTTCACCTGGTTGTTATTTGGTTGGGGGGTATTTTTTAAGGATTTTTAAAAATTAAGTTGGGATATTAAGCTCGATAAGTTCCTTTTCATCATCACTAACCTCTTTCTGCCTTTCCCAAAGTCCCACCAGCAGTACCCGTCCTCTCACGGCGCTCCCATGCCAAAGAAGAGCTACTCTAAAATGGAGAGCAAGAATTACGGCATGTACGAGGACTACGAGAACGAGGAGTACGGTCAGTACGAGGGGGAAGAGGACGAAGATATGGGGAAGGAAGATTATGATGACTTTGCGAAAGAGCTGAACCAATACCGCCGAGCGAAGGAAGGCTCTCACCGGGGGCGAGGTACGTCTAAACCTTCCTTTTTTTTTTATTTTTGCTGCTCATTACCTGCAGCTCGTTTAGCTGCTCAGCTAAATAAAGCACACGCAGGGAGCTTCGTGAAGGCGGACTGCCCTGCCTGCGGAGAACCGCCTGCGGCGCCCGAAACCACTCTTCGATGTCCGTTTGTGATGTGGGACAGTGTTTTTTTTTCCTCTTCTCCAGTCCGAGGGGAAAGTTCGGATCCCTGCGGATAATTTAACGTTGTAAATAAGTGGTTTTCTTGCTAGTGTGGATGGTTTTAAAAGCACACGAGTGGTCGAGAGTGGATAAAATAAAGGAAAAGCTGTATTTGAAGGGAAAATGAAGGCCATCGAGAACACAACGAATCTGGTGTGGCATCTGGAGTACACAGATCTGCGTCACCAGGCTGACGTACCTCTGCAGCCGCTGACGCGGTCACACAATATTGTTTTTTTAAAAAAGTTATCGTTTGGCATCTTAAAAATCCATTCTTTTAGAATATTCAAAACTGACTCACTTAGAAACAAGTTTTTAAGATGCTGGTGATCCCGTACTGGAAGGTTATTATTTATTTTTCCTCGTCTGCCGTATTGTTTTGATATTTTTAACGTACCGGAGAGGTGAAACGCGGTGCAAAGCTCACCCCGTCCCCTTGCTTCGCCAGGTGGCCGTGGCCGAGGCCGAGGGTACCGAGGGCGAGGTGGCAGAGGGGGAATGAGAGGAGGTCGTGGCATGGGCCGAGGGAACCGAGGGCGAGGCAGAGGCGACCACCCCGAGGAAGAGGAGGAAATGTATGACGAAGAGATGGAGGTAAATGCCGAATCTCTCGACCCGCTGCTGCCGGGGAACCGCGGAGGCGAGAGAACCTCTTCGTTTTCGCCGTCGGGTTTGAGGGGGGAACGGGCTGCGCTTCTTCCCCGCTCGCTAAAGGCGCGCGCATCTCTCTCGTTTGCAGTACTGCGATAACGAGGAGCCCATCGGCGATGACGACTACGACGACTACTCGAAAGAGCTCAATCAGTACCGCAGGAGTAAGGAGAATCGTGGCCGGGGTGAGTGGGGTAACGAGCTGTGCTGGGACGGTCCCCGCTTTCTGCTCTCTTCCCCGTTTTATGGAAAGAGAGGAATTAAAGACGAGGAGGTGTATTTTCAGGTTTAAATCGAGGACGCGGTCGCGGCCCCAGAGGGAGAGGCAATAAAGGAATGGGCAGAGGACGAGGCAGAGGTGGAAACAGAAGTGGAATGGGGAAAGGCGGCGGAATGAACGACGACGACGATTACTATGATGAGGACATGGGAGTAAGTAGCTCTTTGTTTTCGCACGGCTTGCTGCGGTGCCGGATGACCCCTTTTTTTCCCCCACCCCACTCCGTAAATCCAACCAGGCTTCAAAGAAAGCCTTCGCAGGAGCCAAAAAACCAAACGGATCTTCCCCAGGATCCGCATGAGCTGGATATTTTGGGTTCTGGTCCTCAAGCCGTGCTCGGGAGCCGACTAGGCTCAGCACGCTTGTCTTCACCTGCCTTTTTCATCCCAAATCGCTGGGTTTTTCCCCTCGCGTGGCAAGTTTTAATCTCTCGCGTGTGATCTGTTGCTTGGTAGTTTCACATTCTTCGGCGACTTACATAACGTGCTTCCCGTAGGATGGAGGAGGCGGTGGGAATTACCGACGGAACGACCACGACAAACCCCACCAGCAGTCGGATAAGAAAGGCAAAGTGATCTGCAAATACTTTGTGGAAGGCCGGTGCACCTGGGTAAGGGAAAAATTCAGAAATATTTACGTAGATCTCTTTATACGCACGCGGAACCGTCATTGGAGCATAAAGTCCGGGTTTTAACCGATTTCGGGGAGGGATTCGTGCCTGAAAAGAGGGTTTTGTAAAGCGTAGACGTCTCCCTGTCCCTCCTAGGGCTGTTCCGGGGCTGTTGACAAACGCGTTGGCGCTTCTGCCTGCTAAGACCCTCTCGTCTTCTTTCTCCCCAGGGCGACCACTGCAATTTCAGTCATGACATTGAACTACCAAAGAAACGGGAACTGTGCAAGTTCTACATCACCGGCTACTGCGCCAGGGCTGAAAACTGCCCTTACATGCATGATATCCTTTCGGTTTTTAACCGTTTTCGTTAAGCCGACCTTAAATGGGTCTCATTTACCCTGCGTGGATGCGTGAGGGGGGGATCAGGGGGAGGAAAAGAGGCCGTTCCTGGGGTAACACATCCTCCGCTGCCGGGCTTGAACGACCGTTCCTTCTTAGCCTCACCTTTCCTCTTAAAGAAATGAGGTTTGCGGCCGTTGTGCCTCCAAGAAAACACGGCAGAAGCAAAGCAGGGTGTTTTTGGCCAATATCGACGTCGTGACGGCAAAAAAATGCCATGTTTCAAAGCGAAAAGCATCTCTGGCCTCTCTGGCTGTAGGAGTAACTCCCTGTTTGGGGTTGTTTTTCTCCTTAATAAATGCTACGGGACTTCCCTTGTAAGCTGTTCCACACCACGGGCAACTGTATCAACGGGGATGACTGCATGTTTTCGCACGATCCGCTCACGGAGGAGACACGGGAGCTTCTGGACAAGGTAGAGGGGAACGTTCAAAGCGGGTTTCACCTTGTATTTTTCTTCCGCGGACATAGAACCTGCGGGGTGGAAAGGGAAGGAGAGGTTTCCCGGAGCGCATGTCGGTCCCTGGATCACCTTTTACTCCTTTTATCTTCTCAGATGCTGGCGGATGACGCGGAAGCGGGCGCGGAGGATGAGAAAGAAGTCGAAGAGCTAAAGAAACAAGGCATCAATCCTCTCCCCAAACCCCCTCCTGGGGTGGGCTTGCTGCCCACACCCCCTCGTCCTCCCGGACCTCCGGCTCCAACCTCTCCGAACGGGAGACCCATCCCTGGAGGTCCTCCTCCTCCTCCTCCGCCGCCGCTTCCACCTCCGGGGCCGCAGATGCCGCCACCGATGCACGAACCTCTGTCGCCGCAACAGCTGCAGCAACAGCAGGACATGTACAAGAAGATCCCTTCCTTGTTTGAGATCGTCGTGCGGCCCACGGGGCAGCTGGCGGAGAAACTGGGCGTGAGGTGAGTCGCCGGCATCTCCGGGGAACGGCGAGAGGGACGGGGATGGCAGATTTTTGCCTCCGACGATGAGCTCTGCCCCAACGCAGTCAATAAGGGCGTAGAAAAGAGGTTTCTCTCCGTTTTTGGGTCCGGCCGCTGATGCTGCTGCTGGCTCCGACCCTCCAGAAGCGGAGAGCGTTGCGTTAAAAGCGGATTTTCTTCTTCTTTTCTCTTTTCAGGCACCCAGGTCCGCCACCCCCCAGGTTCCCTGGACCGGGAGGACCCCCGGGACCGATGCCTGGACCCATGCACCCCGATATGCACCCCGATATGCACCCGGACATGCACCCAGACATGCACCCAGACATGCACCCCGATATGCATCCAGATATGCACCCTGACATGCACCCGGATATGCCGATGGGTCCGGGAATGAATCCCGGTCCTCCGATGGGTCCCGGACCCCCTATGATGCCCTACGGACCGGATGATTCCCCTCATTCCGGCATGATGCCCCCCGGCCCACCTCCGCAAGGTTTCTACGATAATTTTTACCAGCAACAAGAAGGTCTGGACATGGATCACGGCATGATGGGAGATCCAGGTACGTCCCAAAATCTGCCGGAATCGCCTCTTCGGAGACAGGTTGTTCCCGGGCACGGTGGGAGGCAGAAGGAGGGGGGGAAATTAGGTTGTTTTTTAGGCGGCGTTGCGATTTTCTTTTTAACCTGTGATGATTCCTCGGCAGAAGACTACGGCGGTTACGAGGATATGGAAGGACCTCCGGGAGAGCACATGTTTCCCGATCCGTCCTTGGATCACGACGCTTTGTGCGAAGGAGGTCCTCCTGGCTTACCGAAACCACCGGGCAGCATTCCCGATTTCATGCCATCGGCGCAAAGAGCCCTTTACTTGAGAATCCAACAGAAACAGCAAGAGGAAGAGGAGAGAGCTCGGCGATTAGCCGAGAGCAATAAGCAGGAACGCGAAAACGAGGAAGGCAAGTGGCGAAACGCAACGGTTTCCCGTCAAAACCGCGCTCCTGGCAGGGACGGGACGGGGATAACGTGGATTTCCCGCAGTTTTTACCCACCCCGAGGTGTGATCTCTGAAAAAAAGGGAGAAATGAGAGTGTCGGGGAGGAATTCTTTAGGGAACGAGGAGTGCTGAGCGCCTCCCCGGCGTCGAAAGAGCACGTCGCTGGTGTCCAAAGTGGAAAAAACGGGAAGAGCTGGCCGGAAAATGAAGGAGATGGGGCTCCCGCTTTAATTGCGGTGAAATTGGGGTCTGCTGCGGGCAGGAGGAAGAGGAAGGGAGGGATGTTTCCACCTCTCTGGTAATTCGGGGTGTAAAAACGAGAGCGGGGAGGCTGAAGCTGTTGGGTGACCCCCGTTTTTTGCAAAACACGAGGGCGGTTGGGATTTTGAGCGGCGTGGATTTGAGAGGGGACGCGTTTTGGGAACATTCCTGCGGGTTTCATAGCCTGACCGTGCTTTAATTGCCTTGGCTCGACTCCTTTCCTCTTCTCCTTCCTCCCAGGCGACACCGGTAACTGGTATTCCAGCGACGAAGACGACGGTGGAAGTAGCGTCACCTCCATATTGAAAACCTTAAGGCAACAAAGCTCCGGCAGACCCCACGGCGAACTGGGGCCGCCCTCCGGCGTGAGCGACCCTCGTTTGCAAAAACCCCAAGCGGGAGGGAGCGGTCGGCCCGCCGATCCCCGGTTACGGGATCCCAGGCTTTCCCGGAATCCCGATCTTTCTCTCCAATCTCTCACCGCCGATTAGGGACCCACCGATCCCCGCTTGGCGCGACACATTCCCTCCTCCGTCCCCAAACCAGAAACTCCTCATTCCGGCGGCGGTCAGAAACCCCCTCTGCTCCCCGAGGAGGAGGACGGGGAAAGGGCTTTACGCGATAAACCCGTCAACATCCCTTTGGATGCTCTCCCGGGTCATTCCCTCCGGGATCCTCGTTCTCAACTGCAGCAGTTCAGTCACATCAAAAAAGACGTCGTCCTCAACAAACCCAACTTCGCCCGGATGATCCTCTGGAGCCCGGAGGATTTAATTCCGCTCCCGATCCCTAAACAAGAGTTTATTCCCGTCCCGGCTGCCCTTCAATCCATGCCGACCCTCGATCCTCGTCTTAACAGATCCCAAACGAGC